CCAGTTGAATGGCAGCCCACTTCCCTCTGACTCCCAACAAAATCCCTGCCAACTTCAAGCCAAATTATGACGCAAAGATGTCACAGTATTGGTTCTGTTATGTTTTCTATTAAGTATTCAGTTTTAGTTTGCTCAATGTTTTCTAGTTTTATTGGTTTAATTCCTATTTTGTTGTGTTTTCTGGATATATTTGAGTTCTTAGCTTTTTCTTTGTTGCCCTCTGTCGCCCTCTTGTGTTGGTTTCCATTTCCTTAGCTCTTTCCCTAGAAGCCTCAGTTCACACCTGCCCCCAATCAGCTCCTTAGTCCTCCCTTTGTTCAGGCAACCATACATATACTCTCCCTGTGCAGTTCCTCAGTGCTGGCTCCTCGTCTTGGTTCGTCTCTCCTCGCCTTTCCCTGACTCCATGTGCTCTTTTCCCCTGATGTCTCCATGATTTTGGTTAAGTTTTACATTTTAAGTTGGATATTGGATTCCTGCCTCTGTTACCAGTGTTGATTCATTAAAAAATTTGCAAGAACTCATCTCTGCCTCTTAGCCTCTGCCTTTGGGTCCTCAAACCTCAACCAAACCCTGATGCTGGCGGGAGGGAGAGTGCAAAGTGCGGGCGGGAGCGTTCATAAGGGGCAGTCCTACAAACTAAAAACATGTTTTAAAACGTTAAATGAAATGTAAAATAAAGTCATAAATCATCTGTCAATGTCTATCATATATATACATCACAATGTGCTGGACATTGCGGGTCGTGCCACCTAACGTGCTATGCACTATGCAGTGAAGAATCTGCCAGTAATGTGCTCAGCTAAGCACAGCGTGTTTAATTCCTCGCACTAACGACATGAATTGCCTTGAGTAGTAGGCAAACGTCAGAATCATGCAGGAATTGCGGGCGGGAGCGGGACAAGCTATTACAGGTGGGCCGGGAATGGGACTGAAAGTCATAATTCTTTGCGGGAGTGGGCGGGCGCGGGACTGGAAAATCTGTCCCACGCAGGCCTCTAGAACCAGCCTTAATGGACCCAGCAGAGCCCAGCCTGGAGGATATCGAGGAAAACTGTCTGCTGAGTCTAAGGAACACTCTGGACACTATAACCACTCTCAGCCCACCTTGGAAGAGGGTAACATGGTGTGTACCACACTCAACATGGACGAGAGGAAACAAAGAATAAGCTAAGAACTCAAATATATCCAGAAAACACAACAAAATAGGAATTAAACCAATAAAACAAGAAAACAAAAGATTATTTTAGGACAAATGTTGAGGTTTAAAAATGAACTCTAGGGGATCAGCCAAGGGCCCATCAAGGTAAGTTAGGAAATTTTGAATGGCTACTACTGCCTCACTGGCATACACAGAAAACTCATCTTTTGAAATCTGTTCTTGTTGACATCAATAAGGTTACCTCTTATGAGTGAAGCAATTGTAAAATAAAAAGTTTGATTGGAATCGTACAGATAATATAGAAATATTTTTTAATGAGGGCCTTTTATTGTCATTGTGTTATAAATTGACAATGTCAACCACAATATCTTTGCAATAAAAAGCATCTTTTGAATGGGAAAGGCTTTGGTCAATATACACAAAGGTTTAAAAAAAACTCATCCATTTGCTTTTATCCTAAACTAGAAGGAAATTATTATTCATTGAATTACATGTTCATTATTACAGGTGAAATCCCTCCTCTTATCCTTGCTGGGTGGCAGGGAGAATGGTATCCAGGAGGCCCAGTCACCACAGTCAACACACACACACACACACACACACACAGGTAAAAAAAAAAACAAGCCAACACAGTCTCAACCCTACTCAATTTAGAGAAATTAATTAACCTAACAGTCAGATTAAGCAAACTGGGAACTCCGACAAAACCCATGCATGCATTTAAGGAAATGTGCAATTTCCATGCAAAATCAGCTAGCCTGCTATTAAATGCCTTAGGATGCACTGTAGAGGGATAATGATTCAATTTATTTGTTGTTTGATTAAAAGACTAAACAAACAGAATATAACACAACAAAAAACTAGAAAAAGATTTCAAGTGAACCTGCTTATTGTTGTTCTCGTTCCTCTAAACGTTAAAACATTTTTACCTCTTTCAGTAAATACTTTGATTGATTTTTGTATAACCTTAATAAAAAAGGAAAATACAAAAATATTGCTTTACTTCTCCCATTTCTCATTGTGCAACCTTTTTCACATGCTTTTTGCATATAAATAGATCTGTATTTTACTAAGCGTATGTGTGTAGATATTAGCACAATATTCGATACTAAAGATTATAATAGGAGTTCTTGTAGATGGAGGTGGCTGTGAGCAGAAAAGCTCTCTTGAGGCAATAAGCATTTCTGCCTCTAACCTAAACATTGTTTGTTTTGGCAGTGTGATACTCATGTTTGTTTCTAATGTTCTTGATTTCATGAAAAAGGTTTGAAAGCTTGTTTATATTGCTGATTTCCTTTGTGCATTCTAATCGTTATCTTTATGATATTTTCTTACAATTTGCTCAAGAGAGATTTCATATGAACCTTTATAACACTGGATCTAATGCTACCGTATATCTGTTCTACTGCCTACTTTATTAGGTACATCTGTCCTAATGCTCAACATAGACAATTCATCTGCAAATCTCAAAGGGTTTCGAAGCCAGGTGAATAGAAATAAGTATTCAATGATTTAACATTTGAACAGAAAACCTAGAGACACAATCATGTAGTTATATACAAGTAGCTTTGTGGAAGGTTTTCATCATATTGATGAATCTATGCCACAAAGAATAAAATCAGTTTAAAAGGTTAACTAATGGGTTCAATCAAGCAATATCAAATTATACCATAAAGTGGATGGTGAGAATAGATCAACACTTGGATTAAAGTATAGGTATCAAAAGTATTAATGTTAATTACTCAAGTAGTAGAATCCTATGTTTTAAAAATACTTTTGTAGAAGTTAGAGTATCACCTTAAGCTTTTTACTTGAGTAAAAGTGGAAAAAGAGCAATTTTTAAAACTACTTAAAGTATAAAAGTGAAAGTAATGCAGAAATGACAGATGCTTTACTGCAATAGCCTGTTAAAGGAACATTTTTCTACAATCCCGGACGATTATTTCCTTAGAATTAATTTTCTTGATTTTATATCTAATGGTAACGGTGTTAAATTTAACTTTGTATCACCTTAAAAAACTATTTATTTTGGTAAGCAGTGAACAAAAAATTTGGTGCAGCACAACAAATAAATGAATTGTCTGGATAAAATTATTTTTATGGATTTCATGGATTTATTTTTTTTAAATACCAACAGGTATAAAATTAAACAAAACTAATAAGTCTATTTTTAAAAATGTAAGGATTAGAAAGTAGAGATAATTGCAAAAAAATAGTTGTAAGTAGTAGAAGTCAAAAGTTGTGTAACAAACAAGTACTCAATTAAAGTATAGACAGCCAAAATTTCTACTTAAGTAAGGTAATGAAGTATTTATACTTTGTTACTTCACACCTCTGGTTTAACGGAAGGTGTTATTAGTTATTTCATTTTGCCTTGTTAACAAGATTTAAGTCTGATTGTGAACTAGCACTTAAATTGCAGGTTGCCCACTGTACTTTAAAATAGATTTATTTTAATAATTACAGGTTCAATATTTCTTTCAAGGGCAATATTATTAGATTGCGTTGAGTTTTCAAAGTCTCAAAGTAGCTTTCTTTGAAGTGTGGCTAAAGTGCAGGAAGTATGCTTTGAAGGTATTGGCTGGTAGTGTGGAATAACCTCTGGGGTAGAGGAACTGTTGCGTCGCTATGGTCTATACAGCTGGTTAAGTCAGCATCAAGTTGAATAAAATAAAATAATTTCACACAAAGTTATGAAATAAGAATTTTTGAAAACTTTGCTATTCCTTTAGACCAGTAAATAATCCGCATTTTAAAAGGGAATACATTTTTACTTAAGTTTATTTGGTCTAACAGGCCTGATTTCAGCTCATTAATAAATCAGAAAGACAGCAAAAGCAAATCCTATTACAGAGTCAACACGTTTGAAAAGACTACATCAAGAATCTCATCACCAACATTTCATAGGTTTTCTACTAAATACAACCTGACATTAGGTATGCTGAAATGAAAAGCCTTTCCCCACCAGTTAAGGAAAATATTCCTCAAATTGTCAAGTCTAATTCGGGTGTAGAGCGTGTTTTTTCCTAGTGGATGCTAATATGACATTTGGTAACATGCTAAACTCTGTGTGAGCACGCTAAATGTGCTCCCACAGTTTCCCTAATCTTCAGGTAGGATGAAGACGAGTTTGGCAGCTTTATGCTAATGAGCATCAATGGCGTCCAATCACACGCTTCGCTGACTGGGAGACAGGCACAGGATGGAAAATCAAGAGAACGAGAAAATAAAGGAAAATAGAGGTGAAAGTGAAAGGGTGGAAGTAGACGGATGAAGGAAGAAATAAAAGGTAGTAACAGCAAGAATTATTTAATTTTTGAATATTTGTACACAGTAAACCATGAATTACTCCTTAATTAAACAGGTCCTAAAAGGACACCAATATGACGTCACTTTGCTAATAAAATACATGCACTGATTTAGACTCCATGAGTTCCCCCCCAATAAGAAAATGTGAAGACAAAATCTAAAAAAAAAAAAAAAAAAACACTGCTTCTTAAGGTAAAGATTTTGATAAAATGAAAAATACCATTGCCATAGCAACGCTTCCATCTTTGTAAACCTTTAAAGGTCTTTCAGAAATTGCCCTGAAGGAAACATAGTGCTTTTTCAGAATAATGTAGTGAATATTGCTGCTGCTGCTGCGTGACCTGCATGCTCCTCTTCTCTTACCTTTTTGATTGTGAGGATTTTATGTACTTTAAGAGCTATTAGATCTAAAATTGCTGTTTGTGAAATTGTTTAGGCTTAAAGGTTAAGTGTAATTTTGTGATACAGCAACTCAATCGAAATATGAAACAGAATAAAATATTCCACTGGTGGTATTTTCAAGCTCTACCTTTTTCTCTGCCTCTTGCTTTGCGTACTGCACCAGCAGTGGTTCTCCATGATTCTGAAAGTACGCTCTTTGGCAGCGGTCCGAAAGAGCAGGCTCATTGGGCAGGAAGCTGCTGGCCCACACCTAGGATAGGAAGCAAATGAGAGAAACAAAACTGAGACTTTTTTTTGCACCCTTTTGAATTCATAAATTTACATTTTTTTATGTAAGTTGCACAAAACCAATCAAAAGAAAAAACCTGAATGGGTCTGATTTCCAAAGGATTCAAATTTCATGGCTTTAAACTGCATGTACAATTTTTCTTAGTAGGTGATGTACAAAGATTGCTGCGCAAATGTTAAGACGACCAAACCCCCCCATCCGTATTACTCTTTACGTTGTCCTTCAATATTCTTTTTATTATTAAAAATGCCACAATATTTAAGTTCGGCCATTTTTATTATAACGATAATTCCAATGATTTGGTTTGATTGTGTAAAAATTGTCTGCCATCCTGCTGTATAGAAGTTATTTTCTTTATCTATATTATTCTATTATTTTTTTCGGTCCAAATGTGTCTCTATGTGCGCAGAATATCTCTCCTTTTGTGGCAACAATGAGTGCAGATATTTTTGCACATCACTTTCACAACCACCAAAAAAGAAGAACAGTGGCAGCAGTTTAGCTCAAATCTGGATAATCAGTTTACACATGCTTAAGGTATAGATTTGCATTACTCCACCCATGAATTTGCGCCATTTGCTCATAAGAATGCGATCTGGATATAGCTGAAGGCAAGCACGCAAAAAAGGTTTCCACAGGGCTGGCTGCTGAAATGCAAAACAAATCACTTTTGAAGCTCTTTGAAGATCTGCTCTGCGTATCCAACACTTTTGCACCTGTTTTGAGAATGCAAACCTTTTGAAGACCAGGCAGGCCCCATGTGTATTAGCATTTGGACAGGATATGTTGTTTTGATTGCTGTGATGTAACAACCTTTTTAAATATCCACTCTGAAGGCAGTCTTAAAAATACCAAATATCAGTTGGCAGCTAAAAATTCTGGACAAAGAGTAGATTTTAAATCTTTCAATCTTTCTGGAATGCCTAGATTTCTGGTTCTTTACATATAAGCTCTTATCTTATGCTTTACCCACAGGTTTTGAGTTAGTTATCATTCATATATGTGGCTCTAAGGAAAAGGCTGCTCTCTATTGAAATGCTTCCATTTTGAATTTTCCTTTCCTACATATTTTTTTCTAAAGGACCCAGTGATGACTAGTTTTAATTTTAATAGGCCATCAAATTTTTATTTGACATATCCTAGTAAAGATACAAGAACTAAAGAACTTAAAGAACTCAATGTACTCTAGTAAGGTTTACAGACCTTTCAAAGGAGTAAAAGAGCAAAAGCATCATAGATCTTTCACCTAGATTAACAGTTGGAATATTGTTCCACGTTTGTTTTTATTTTTGCTCCGGACCAAATGGTCTCATTCGTTTTGCTGAAAAGATCAATAAAAGTCATTTAGCAAAGGCACATTATTCCAGGTAAAGTCTCTTTAGAAAATCCAATGTGCAAATATTTGGCTTTGACTCTGGTCACTTCTTGAATTTGTTCTCCACCGTTTTATTGACATTCAAGATCAGATGATTGTTTCTACATGATGCCACATAGATGTTCACCAGCTCCCTTTACTCTGTACTGCTTCTTGTCCATCACTAATGCATCCGTTAAGTCATCTGAGTGTTACTGCAGATGACAGGACTCTGTCTTGTATTGGAAGTCAGAGGTGCACAGAGTAAAAAGGAATGGTGAAAGTATTGTCCCCTGTGGTGCTCCTTTGCTGCTGACTAGTTGGTTAGACAGCTGACACTTCAGTCTAACAAGCCGGTCTGTTTGTTAGGTAGGGTTTAGTCCAGCCAATTGTTGATGCCTCCACCTGAGTCTTCTGGAGATTCTGACAAAGTAAGTCAGGCTGAATTGTGTTAAATGCACTGGAGAAATCTAAGGACATGATCCTCACACTGCTGTCTGCCTTGTCTAAATGACAGTGGGTTTGCCAAAGTAAGTGTATGATGAATCTTAAACTCCAAACTCAAACTCAACAGTAATAAGCAAACTGCAGGGGCTCCTGGTATTTGCTTATTACTGGCAGGACCCCTGACCCCAAGCCTCAGACAAACAGGAGTCTCTCAAGGACGTTCATGCTTTGGGATGTCAGGACAAAAGGTCTATAGTCACTGAAGATTGTTGGCTGAGTCTTCTTTGGTACTGGAACAAGACAGGAGGTATTTCATCACTAAAAGAAGTGCTGTAGAATCCCACAATGCTGCTCTGCACAGGCCTTCAGGACTCTGGGGCTGACACCATCACAACCTGGTGATTTATTACGGACTAGCCTCTCCAGTGTAAATCATATATTAATCATACCAGAGAGCTGTCTGTGAGGTCAAACTTTAAACATTTACAATAGAACAGTTTTAACGAGGCTATAATTGTTAATATTTCTTTTTTTTTTTTTTTTACATGTTTGCATTTCTAGGCCAACAAAATCCATTTTGGCTTTGTAAATAAATGTTCCATCATTCCAATCGGTTCTTTGTTTTATGATGTTGCTTTTATCTTTTCTTTTTCTGAACATGTCCTTCGCTTTGTAAACAACAACCAAACTGTCGCAGATAGAAACGACCTCCTTACAAGATCAGTTTCATATATTTTGGACTAAGCCCATACTGTGCACTGCAATGAGGAACAGACAATTGACCTAAACATATTTAAATATGTGATACTGATATGAACAACTTATCAAGCTAATCTTAATGTGGGCTAAAAATGAGCATCAATACAAAAGTTTTCTAAGTTCTCTTTTGTCCTGGTGCCATTTGCATGCCATTGGTAAGCTGATAAAAAAATCTACATAGAGGCTGACAATGATGGGTTTAGAGACATTTTACATATTTATTAATAAATTCCTGAAGCATAGCCTGTTTGAAACATGAATACAAAGGTTAATTATGGCTGGAAAAAAGGATGTATGGATGACTGAATACTTTTCCGTATTATATTTTCTTCTTTTTGCATTTAAGCAGACCTTAAACAATCAATTATTGAATTATTATTGAATTATCAAATTCTGCTTTTCAAAGCATCGTCAGACTTTGTAAGAAATCTATTAGTATGTTTCTGTACAGTCTTAAAATGAACTAAAAATATTTGGTGGGAAAATATTAAATATTAGTCAAATATTAAACAAAGACTATTTAAGTCATTCAAACTAGTAAAATATAAAAACGATCCAAATATTAAAAAAAATAAAATCACAGTTTCCTTTATAAATATTGAGCTCTTACTGATGTAAGAATAACAACTGGTTGAATTGCTTTCTTAAGAATAATTATGTTATTATGATGGGGTTCCATCTGGTTTAACACAGGCGTACCTAACAAAGAGCCCGGTCAAACTTTTTTATTACAAAACCCCATTTAAATCCCATGCGCACTGAATTTTTTATTTCTGTAAAACAGCAATTTTATCTCACTAAGCTACAAAAAAAAAAAACGAATGAATGCAGACAATGTAAAAATGGATGTGGATCTTTTTCCGACGCACAAACCCTTCAATGACGATTTTTTTTTTTTTTATCTACCTCCAAATGCCCTCTGTCTCTTTTTTCCCTACATCTGCTGATTGTGCTCCTCCCAGCACCATTCCCTTCCCATTTCCTCATCTGAAATGTCTTTTTCAAGCTGCTTTTGAATCTCTCCCCCAGATTAGTATTGACTGCCTGCCCACCTCCTGTCACATATAGACGTTGTTATTAAGCCCTTGCTCTATATTCTCTTTTCCTCATTCAATATGAACTATAACCATCAATAATATAGGGCTACCTAAATGCAGAAATATAATCTATATTCAATGTTACACTCATGTCTTTAGTTGAATCATTAGAGAAAACCTACATACAAAAATGAACAGATTCTTTAAAGTAGTTCCCATAGGCTAAATAGTATCATGCATTCAGAAAAAAAAAAAAAAAAAAAGCACAAACAGAATTATGCTCAAACTGCGATAGTAGCTCTAAAGCAACAAAGAAGTTTAAATCAGCCATACTGATTGCTTACTGAAACAAACACATTGCTCTAGCATTGCTCTCATCAGCCACCAGCTGATACTCCTTGCAGACTGCATTCACCTTAAACGAGCTGCTGGCAATTGCTCCGATTGAGCAAGTGAGCATCCCTGAAGAAAATTATGCACAACGCTTCAAAACACATGGCAGATATCTGAAAGGAAACATTCTGCTTTATTTGCTTTTATACAGACACGCTGCTTTGACTTTTGGTGTAGCTTTACACATCCTGACATTCTCTGGGCCTGGAATGCGTTTCTATCACAGTTCAGGACGCTTTTTATGGGCAACAATGAACATAACAGAAGACATTTGCACTACTTGCGTTGGAGCTTTATGGAGTTTTAATGGGTATTAAAGCGGAAAAGCTGTATGAAATAACCCAAAGATTCAACTAAAACTGTGGTCTGCAAGGTCATTTAAAAAAAAAAAAGAAATATATATATATATATATATATATATATATATATATATATATATATATATATATATATATATATATATATATTACAATTTGAACAAGAGCCACTGGATATCTTAAAAATTGAAAAACATTAATGTGCTCATACATAAGGAAAACAGGAAGCAGCATAGATAAGTAAATAGGCTGTATCTTCTCAAACTGACGTGTGAAGGTTTTGCAAAATTTTTAGTAGGTTTCTTTTGTTCTCAGGAAGAAAGCATTTTTTTTTCTATTTAATGTGCTTAAAATGTGGGATTTTATTTATGTTTTGAACATTCTCCCAAAAAAGATGAAACTTAGAGCTCTGCTTTTTTAGCGCTCCTTGTTAAGTGGAACCTTTTTATTTCATATCTATAATGAAGATAATAGTTCATTTATAATTTGCATTGGTGCCATTTCGATCAACTCGTGAGCTATGCAATAATCAAAAATATTTCCTGCTCCTCTGTGCAACAAAGCTACAATTTTTTTAGGTAAAAAAAAATCCTAATTTATTTTTACCCAGAATTCGAATTCATTGTAATATTTTCTCCTTTAATAACCTTTTGGTTGTTTACCAAAACCATTATAAAAGTTGGCTTTTTAGATTCTTTTGCTACTCCGCAAAATTGTACAAAAGAAGATATTAAATATACATTTAGTATCAGCACTAGAAAATGACAAGCTAAGTTATAGTGTCAATTTTCAATGCCTTGTCAATAATAGAGCCATTAAATAAATGCTAAAAATAATGCTATAATTGAAATATTCCTAATACATTTTTTTTTTTAAACTTAAAAAAATGTAGTGGTAATATGACTAAAGATCATCATGCTTAGATGATCTCATACAAGCCAGTGGCTACATACTTATGATATTTGAAGACTAAGGCACACTGTCATTAGAAGATCAGTTTTTCATATAGACGATGTACTAGACTTTAAGGGGGAATTCATCTTCTTGATTCCTTCATTTCCGCACCATTGATTCATCAACGTTGAATTCTCTCCCAGTTGCTATATTCCCACGTTCTACTGTAATTGATAACCTTGAGTTTAAAGTCGGCGTCATACCTTTCTCCCTCGACAGCTGCCATTTTGGGGTCCTTACATACACACTGTAATATCATGATGAAGCATAATGTGTATTACTCTGCCATGCCCCCTGACTATGCCTGATGCAATCATGCAGGTGTTGCAGCTTCTTTAGTTTACCAAAGTCTTACTAAAACATTTTGAGAGGGCGCTGTGTACCACACAAGATCACTTCAAGGTCAGTAAGCAAAACTCTGATTAATCCATGCATAAGGCAATATAGATTTGAAGGCTCTGCTATTTTTTAACTATTTTATAAGTGCGCCTTGCAGTGCAGAATACACGGTACTATCATTTAGACACAGGCTAGCAAGAAGTCTGCAGGCATGTATAAAAAATATTATTTACAAACAATGGACATTGATAACAGACCACTTCAACATTTAAACGAAATGAACTCCCTGACAGCGCTCATGTTTGCATCATGAAGAGTCCAGATAACACACCAAAGAGAACCCAAAATATATTTTAAAACTAGAAGATATAACATCTGAGAAAGGTGGTTCTTTTTGATGAATATTTCAAGTCCATAAGTCTGGTAACTTCAATGTTGATGCTCAGGAGGGAAAGTTAAGCAAATGCAGAAGTACAGAGAGAACTGCATACACTGATGGCTACCGGAGTTAAAGAGGGCCATTACTATTCAAGAAGCATATGTTTCCCTTCCTCCTCTCTGATCCTGTGAGACCAACGTTATCAGCAGCCATGCCGCCTACAGAACAGGATTAACAGTTTTTGTTTCTTGTTCTTCACAGTTTCACATCTATGCTTTTAAATTTGTGACCGTGAGGGTTTAGGTGGGGGGTGAGTACTTGTACACACAGTTTTAAATACACTTATAAGGAAGTGAAGTAATTAAAAACAAAGGTAAGAAATACCTAAATGTCCTCAGAGCTCCATCATAAATGTCTAGATTTTTTTTTTTTAGCTGTACAAATATAAGACTATTGATACCTTACAAAACAGGGTAAAACAAGTGTTAATATCAAAAGCATTATAATTTACAATCCAAAATTTGTTTAAAATCATAACCGATCATCAAAGCAGTTATTAAGAAGGCGCAGCAGTGGTTACACTTCTTGTTGGTGCTCAGAAAGTACAACCTGGACTCCAAACTGAGGCTGGCTTTCTACCGCTAGTCCATCCATCCTGTACACTATCACTATGGTAGATAGTTGTGCTACGGCAGAAAGGGAGCAGCTTCAGAGAGCAATAATGGTATTACAGACCATCAGCAGCCCTCTGTCCTTCCTGATGGACGTTTACTCCTCCTGCTGACCCAGAAGAGCTTATCCTTTGCAAAGGACAGCTCCCAACCTGGTTCTGTATTGCTGAACCGGCTTCCCACCGAGAAAGCACTGCAGTTGCATCAGAACAAAGTCCAACAGATTTAAAAACACTTTCTTCCCTGGAGGAGCAACTACCACATGCACAATTCCATGTATGCCACCCGTCCCACACTCAAACCAACAGACTTTCTTAGCCTTTCCTTTGTGCAAGATTCAGTATTACTGGAAATAACCGTGCAATATCTGTAATACTTTTACTCTCACTGTGAAAAACATATTGAACCTTACATGTTTGAGCAGGGAAGAAGCTGCTCCTAATACCATTGTACCTCTATTATAGTATAGCCAAAATAAAGGGCATTCTGTTCTGTTTAGCTTTTTTTCAGAGTCATACTGCCATCTGCTGGTAGCTTCTACGCTTTTCTAAGAGAAATAAATGGACTCTGGTTCTGTGTTTTTCACTCTTATACAAATTTATATACATATTTTATTAGCTGGGAAGTGAATATACCTCAAGTCTGACTAGTTTAATGTCAGTGATGCTGCCAACACCACGATAGGGTGTGTGCAGCTCAATTTTGTCAACCGTTTGCTGTGTCCCTTACATGGCTCATGACAAAATGGGAACTGGACCTTTAATGGCTCCATCAGGCAACTTCTCTACAAAGGCCAGATCTGTGGAGTGGATAACTAATAGATGTCCTTTTGGCAGAATGTCCTACTTAAGCTGTGGATCTTTAAAGCTGATTCAGTGTTTCTATGGGTTGCTTCTCTGATTAATGGTGCTCCTTGCCAGGCCATTTGCCAGCCTACCAGGCATAATTTTCCTCTTACTCTATATTACTACCTTACTTTTTTTTTGTAATACAAAGAAATATAATACGTACATAAAATTTTGGTGATCAAACTTGGCAGAAGGGGAAAAAAAATACTTATCTTCTATGGTAGAGAATATAAGCGATATAGTATTTTAAAATCCATAATTCTGCCCCATTTCTTATTGTCTTTTTGCACTTCTCCGGCATCAAACATTTATGTGACAGTTTGACAGGAAACGTCTCTCCCTTACCCCGAGTTGTTAGTCTTGCCTAAATCACCTCATGGAAAGAGGAAAACATAGAGACAAGCGAAACATTGAGCTGTGATACAAGTGTGACTATGCATACGCTCTTATGCATAATGTGGTATAATGTGGTAAGGCCACACTGCAGCGACTGATTTGGGAATGAGGACTCGATTAACAGCTTCACTGCTGTGACATTTCTGACTTCAAAACCTGGACATGTTTTTCTTGCACATTTCTGGTTCTTCAGAGGTGTTTGAAGAAGCTGCATCATAGATGTGCAAATTGGGGCTCTTGTGAATGAAGGTGTTGTGCAAATGTTAGAAAAGTGTTGGTTTCGATGTATTTTAAACTCTGTACTGCACTTTGAAAGCCCATTTATGACACAAAAGACAATAATAACTTACAAGCAAAAATAACACAATTTGAGAAATTAATTTGCCTATCATTAAGTGCAGTATTAAACTGCATGTTATTATCGGATTAAGCCTTTTCTAATTACCATAGAAGACTTTTTTAACTGGCAGTATCTAAGTTACTCAAAAAGTAGTGCAACTTTTAAAAATATTGTTTGATCAGCAAAATTGGCTTCTTGTTAAATGGTATTAAAGCAACACTGTTTGATCTTTAAGTATTGATTTATTATGAAATATATTTCATTATTTTTAGGTCAATGCACATCACTTGCCGCATATTAATGCTCTGTGTGGGCTACAATTAAAAAGACTTTTCTGTGGAACTGTAGGGCTTTGGATCCAAAGCGTTGTTTTACGGCCGTCTGTGCTCCTTCTAAACATGAGAGCTAACTAAGCTAAAAGTTTTAGTTAGGCAACAAAACGGATACGACACCTGATCAAACATACCAAAAAAAAGAAAATTAAAGACAATCCACTGGACTTTGTTTCCAAGTTTGAAGACGTTTAGCTTCCCATCCAAGAAGCTTTTTCAATTAAAAATATAAGGAATAGCGTTAAGTTCGAGGTTTTATACAGTAGCTCAACAAAGCCTTTTTTTTGTTTTGAAAACATGCAAATGGAAACGACGAGGGGGTCCACCCCTTTGGGGTGGGGGTCATTTGGCTTCTTTTATTAGCCTGCAATGCCTCATACCCATCTGATTAAATATAGTTTTGATTTATTTTCAAATAACGGCCATTAGTGCCAATAAATGCTGTGTTGGATCTTGCACGAAACTGAAGAATGAAAATGGAGTGGCGTACATCATACCTATTGTTAAGTATGATGGAGGTTCTGTAAGGTTATGTGAGTATTTACTGTGACTAACTGTATGTGCTCTCTTTCCTCTCTTTTAACATGAAAACAGACTCAGAGCTCATCTGCTAAACAGTTTTTTTTTTTCATAGACAGCATTGCCTATGGAGCTAGTTTACAGTTACCTTTTCTAACATAGAAAGTATTTATGGATCAGAGTCTGTCTTCCTTTTGTATCTCTGCTTCTGTCTCCTTGAACTCCAATTGGCCTCGGTAGAAGGCCGCTCACACAGAACCTGGTTCTGCTGGAGGTTTCTTCCTGTTGAAGGGAGTTTTTCATCTCCACTGTTGTTGCAAATATCTCCTGTTACCACATGCTCACCCAGGAGACAATGACTGGATATAATCATTAGATAGAAAAAATGTAACTAATCTGGCTGTATACCCCAGCTGAAGTGTCTCTCAAGTCTATAAATAAACTGAATTGAATTTATAACAGAACTGTGATGCAGGGAGCCTATTTCCTTTGCAGTCATGAACTCTCTCAAGCACCAGAATATTTTCAAACTTTAAAAAGCAAATTGTACTTCCACATACTAAAACTAAATATTAAAAAAACACAGATAATCAATGTCAGGTTATCAAACAGACTAAACAATCATTAGAAATTCCTTTGCATTAGGATGTCACAATATGTGAAGTTAGGATTATCATCTTCCTACCTGGCAGTGAGGATGTGGATTTGAACAACCCATCATTGCCCCCTTATTTTCAAAGATCTGCAGACAGAAGATAAGAGGTCAAGTTAATTGAAGGTGTTCATGAGACATGGCACATTTTGTTAAAGTCCAAATTGTGCTGTCATAACCGAAACCACATTGAATATCTTAAAGGAGCATTTTCTGGGCTGTGCCCGAAAGTCCACCCTAACCACTATATAGTGGTCTTCTATAGTGGTTACGCTATTTTAAATGAGTGTCCAAACATCTAGTGGATTAAAAAGTAGTGGACTCAAAATTTCCCACAATGCACCTTGAAAAGCAAATATATATCTCGGAATGCTTTGCGAAAGCTTTCCTCGCAAAGCATTGTGGGACTTGTTGCGACAGCAGTGACAAAAGACAAATATGGCGCACACACCATGCAGGGAGGTGGAGTCAATGGGGAGCGAGAAGTACTGATCATCTGTCCGAAAGGTCAGTTAACTGAGTTTGCTATAAAGTCCACTATATTGTCCCTGCTCTATATAGTGATTGAGGGATTTAGGGGTTAGGGCATAAATCTCACTGTTTTAGCTGCTTATGAGTTTTCTCAGAGGTACCTTGAAAGTTTTAGCCAGTTAAAAGGAGGACATCTAAATAATAGAAAATAAATAATTGAATAGTCAAAAAAACTGAATGAAAAAGGAAATTTGTTTTATTCACGCTATTTAAATTTATGGACAAAAGGGAAAATCAGATTTCGACATGGAGTTTGCATGTTCTCCCTGAGCATGCGTGGGTTCTCTCACGGTACTCTGGCTTCCTCCCACAGTCCAAAAACATGACTGTTAGGTTAATTGGCTTCTATAAATGTGAGGTGTGTGAGTGTGTGCGTGAATGGTTGTTTATCCTCTATGTCTCTGTGTTGGTGACTGTCGACCTGTCCACGGTGTATCTCGCCTTTCACCCATAGACAGCTGGAGATAGGCACCAGCACCCCTCGCGACCCCACTTGGGATTAAGCGTGTAAGAAAATGGATGGATGGATGGGAAAATCAGATGAGTGGTGTGAAAATAATACGGATTAAGGAAAGTTGTGCTCTCAGTACCTGAACCCATGGGTATGTTGCACCGAGTTCCTCCGAAAGCTCAGCCCATTTATCGATCACCTTGACAACCTCTTGGTGTTTCATCAGAGGGAGGGTTACGTCAGACCAGGGGTGGAAACACATTACCTTACTGAACAAGACAAATAGAATAGAAATAAAATAAAATAGTTAGTAAGCAGGCAACAATGTATAATGATAAAATCTGTTAACAGAACTCCAAGCGCCTGATCTTCAAAGATTCCAAATAAGGAGTGCTAAATTGCATGTTCAATTTTTTTTTTTTTGGACATGTGTTGCGGATTATTTTGAAAGATTGGTGCAAAAATGTTAAGACTTGCGAATCGGTTTGGTTGCAGCCCATTAAAATGAGCAGATTCCATGTTCTCCGGGCAGGTTGAATGTGGCCGTAAAAGAACGACGAGGTTCAAAGCCATAAAGTTAAAGGTAAAAATTACCATAATCATTTAAATAAAACAATCACTATACTAAATATTATTTATAGTGCACTTCAAATGTGTAGGATATCCCAAAGACCTATGAACGAAGTAGAAAAATAAAATAATAAAAAACAATAAAGTTAAAGTTACATATAAAAAGACCAAATATTAAGAGACATGAGGCAGTTATCTTTTTCTACTCATCAAAACCTGCCACCTCCCAATCCCAACTTAATCATTAGGGAGCCGCAGTCAGATTTACTACAGATTATGCTCATTTTAACAGCAGCTTAACAACAGCATAAGGCAAAACAAGGCAAGCTTTGTGTTTTTGGGTCATTCCTGATGACGTGCGACTAAGACCAAGCTTCTGATACTGCGAAACACATTTCTCTGTAGAATCCCTTGGTATTCCTGATATTTAATTGTACCCTGCAGAGATTCAAGACACCCTGTGCCAGATGAAGCAAAGTATCCCCAGCCTATAACAGTCTCATCCTTGTTTTACAGTAGAGACAGTTCTTTTCTTGATATACTTAATTTTTCCGTCGTAAAAATAGAGCTGATGCACCTTGGTAAAAAGTTCCCTTTTTGTCTCATCTATCCATGGGGCAGATCCATGGGAGACCCTGAAGCTTTGTGCCTTGCCAACATGTAGGTTTGTTTGGTTTTATTTTCAACGATGGTGTCCTCCGTCATTAAGTCCACTTTGGTGCCGAGGGTGCAATCTGACACTGATGTTACTTGAACATAAAGTTCACCTTTAATTTATTTAGAGTTTTTTTGGGGGGGCTTTTTTGTTACCATTCATATTGTTTGTCTCTTTAATTTATCATGAATTTTCTTTCCGCAACCATGTCCATGAGGTTTGGTTATCCTTCTATGGATTTTAAATTTCTGAATAATTACTAAAATATTGTCACAGGAACATCAAACTGCTTAGAAATAGTCTTATATGCTTTAATATGCTTCTCTATAATTTTCTGTCCAGTCTCTTTAGACAACACTTTCCTTTGATGCCTCTGGTCCATATTGAGTGTGGTTCACACCATCTCACCAAACAGCACAGTGATTAACTGTGTCCTATATAGAGATTTTAGACCCCTGTGATGCTAATTAGTGGACACATCTTGATTTAACATGTCTCTGTCACATTATTTTCAATCTTTTCTAGCGGTACCATCATTTTGACCAGGACTCTTCCATGCTTTTAATTTGTTGAAGCAGGGTTTAAAAGCAAAGTCTGTCTTTCATTTGTTCATTTCCATAGATGTTTTTTATGTAAAATATAAATATAACACATACACACACCTAAAATGTCTCACTTCCATTAATTTCTACAGCCTAAACCTAAATCCAACTCCCACCTTAGCCCTAAATGTGAGAACAATTCCCAGAGTGGGGTCCAAGCATCAGGCCCCACAAGGAGAAGTCCCCACAAAATGCTATTTTGTTAAAAACAAGTGCACACACATAATGTAATATATATGTACTCGTCACTAAGAGTTGGTGTCTTTACTCTTTTAGCGGTTCACACGAAGTCTGACACTCTGTTCAAGCTTGCACACCTAATCAGTATCTGTCTCCCCTTGTTCCGTCTGTTCTTCTTGGTGCGTCTATTATTTATTACAAGTTCTCTGCTGCGGGTCTGGCTGGGATTAATAAGTAATAACCACGCCATTGCTATCACTGATCTACTTGGCCTGGTTAAATTGATAATCTGTAGGAGGGCTGTTGGTATCTCTAGTGTGAAGTGAGATCACTGCTCTGCAGAGACTCCCTGTCAAACACCACTGCATGTCTACTTTAGAAACATTTTTCAATTGTTCTGGAAGGAAAATAATAAAAAAAAATACATAAAAAATACACCCAATGTTTAACTCTCTAGGACATATATGCAGGTAGAACTAACGAAATTAGAAGATTGTGAAACAAATAGTTTTTGTAACTCATTTGGGTGCACAATAATGATTTTAAATATAGATCATTATGCATAAACTTATAAATTTGAAGCTTTTATTTCTTTTTTATTATTATGGCTTAAATGGGGATTTTCAGTGGTGCAGTGGTTAGCACTGCTGCCTTGCAGCAAGAAGGTTCTGGGTTTGATTCCTGGCCCGGGGAGGGCCAGGAATGTTCTGCATGGAGTTTGCATGTTCTCCCAGAGCATGCATGAGTTCTCTCTGGGTACTCCGGTACGCCCTGCGATGGACTGGCGACCTGTCCAGGGTGGACCCCTCTCGCCCATTGACTGCTGGAGATAGGCACCAGCACCCCTCGTGACCCCACTCGGGACAAGCATGTCAGATTATGGGTGGATGGATGGCTTAAAAGTGATAAACGACCCTAAATGTTGTATCTTAGAAATTCTTAAACAAGAAAGCAACATTTTTAAAGTGTTAATGATTTTCAAATAACTTTATATGTAAGTTCCTACCTATATATTCCTAGATCTACAGTTTCTACACGAAAAGAAGTAGTGGAAATCCTGGCAGTGGCTCAAAAAGAAACATTTTGGTGTTGTTGCCCACAGAATGCCCTGGTATCATATAAACTGTAACTAAGAGGGAATAGACTGTTGTTGTAAAGAGTCATGGCAGAAAGCAAAGCTCTTAATCCACTGGTCAGTAAACTGCCAGCTATCATTCATTCACTGATGGATGAACTTTAGGAAAAACAATAACAATGTCTCCTCCCAACACAGTAAAACTGAAATTGATTGTCGCAAATTATGGAGGCACAGTACAGAAGCAGACTGGCTGAAAAAGCAGAAAGGAGATCCTGATGTCTCTGATGTGTCCGTTGTGCCTTACAGGGACTGTAGTCATACAGATTTGAGGGAGAAGATAGTTAACAGCTCTATTCTTCTCAGGCTCTCCTGTTTTGCTGAAAGCGTCTTTAAAAAAATTGGACAAAAAAGATTAATGTATTAATAATCCAGTTTTAGAACTGCATGATTTTACAATATGTATCTGCAAACTACCATCTGTCGATTCTTAAAAGTTTTACTTTTTGATGTAACCTTTTTTTAGTGAAAACACTTGAAGAACCTGAATCACTAAATAAAAGAAACATAAAGCCTTTTTATTATTCTAATATTAAGGTGGTGGGATCAAGCTTTGACATAAGAGAGAAAACATTTCTGTATTACGCAGCACCGATTAAAAAAAACATGCTGTGGGTTCAGCAGTCTTAAACGATGTGTTATTGTGTTATAACCGCTTTATAGAGAGAGATCATTTGAAGATATGAATTAAAAAAATACTCTTTGAAGTCTCTGTGGGCTTGAAAAAAAAAATGTCGGTGTTAATACATCTGTTTGCTGTCAGGCTTACACAAAGCACCCAGGCAAACAAATGTGACTGTCAGAGTAAAACAGACATTACGTTTCTATTGACAGCCACAGTCTTCTGGGACAGAAAGCAGCTATTCTGCAATCAATAATTGAACATGGCTTTGGTGTTTATGCTCAGAGCAAAAATGAATGGTCTGTATTTATGAATTGTTCATGAGGAGACTTTAACAAGAGCTGGGAGCTCTCAGAGCGATTGTTATTGAAATCCAGTCCAACCATAACAGCAGGAAAACTAAAGTGATACTTCTTATTGTAGAGGGAAGGTTAAAAAAAAATGAATTTTTTTTTTATCATTATATCTAAATATCACCAATAAGGAACATAAGAGAATATTATGATCAGAGAACATTTCAAAACAAACATTCAGCAGTTTTTTTTCAGCTGAATTTAAATACCTAATCTTTGGAGTGGTAGGCACTAATGTTAGAGCTTCAAAGGGCCACTCACAGTTAAAGGTATCATAGTGGATTTTCGCAATTTTTTTTAAAAGACCCGCCCTCTCCTCTTTAAAAAAAAAATGCATGTGCACAGAGAGCATGCAGGAGCCCATTTCTCCTCGTGCACGCTCCGATTAAAAGTTGCTGTTTGAATCGCTCATACAAGCTTACTTTCAAAAAAAAGATTTGCAATTTTTCCACTATGTCAGACTCAACACCTGTAAGTGTAAGTGAAAATGGGGAAGAGCACATACGAAGGCCTTAGGTAAACATATCACCAGAATGATTGACAATTAGGAGGACCACTTATTTAGATGATCCACTCGGGAAAAGAAAATTCTTCACAATTAAATACCTTTAATTGCATTCTCTACCCTATTGGCTCGTCATTTAATCCTTGCTAACAGGAAGTCCCCCTCACTTCCAAAACATTCTAAATGTCTTTCCTTCAGCTGGAAACGTTTAGGACTACAGTCCAAAATCCAAAGGTAACATTTCAGAGATTTGGCAACCCTTTTTGGACTAGTATGAAAATGAGTTTGATGCACACTCTTTAAATTAGTAAATATATCATATTCTCCTCCGTTTGTTTTTTTTTTTGTTTTTTGCTGGTTTGCTTTACAGTTTTGGTTTCCTTTAAAGGAAAAGTTATTTGAGATATCTGCATTTAAACTCAATTTTGTTTTGATTGGTTATCATTTTGTGGTGGTTATGGTAAACAGAAGTGTATAAAACAATTTTTTCCTCGACTACTTGCCCTAGAATTTTAATAGAGTGTACATTGAGCTGTATCTTTTGTTTATTTACTGATTGCTCAGTTAATGGAAAACATTTTGAAATTAACATTAGCGTATTAAATGCTTTTAGTACACTGTGTATCAAACTGTTCCGCCTCATTCAAAATTGTATTTTATGTGAAACCTAAATAAACTATATTGTTTCATAGTACAGATGTAAAAGTATGAAAGTCTTGTATCATAGTTATCAATTTAAAGTTGCCATGTCTATTGTCTTTGCTACAGGTCAATTACCTTTTGGCAGTACGTACCGCCATTTGAAAACTCACTATTTTGTGTTTTCCTTCTTAATTTTTTTTATTTTTTAATAACAAAAAAATATACCTATTTGTACTGTTAATTTTAAACTGTTGGACGTCAGTTTATCTTTGTAGTCATGTAGTTTTAATTTATAAATACCCATAAAATGCTTAAAATCTGTATAAGTTACATGTTTTCTTCTAAAAACATTCATTTAGGCTCTGATCTCCATGAGATGCGACTTATTATGAACCTTGATTGAATCCAGCTATCAAGAAGCAAATGTTAGTTTGTGTGAATTATTCTCACATAACTTTGTACCCTGCCAAACTAATATAAATAGATTATAACTCTTCTCTTTAACTCATCAGTCATCAAAGCAGATATAAAATGAACCATTTGGTGGGTAGCAGATAGGTTCATTTCATTACTTACTTTTTTAAACTTCCATACATGCATTCTCTGCAGGCCGTCCCTTTATCCAAAAACGTGACAGTTTCTGATGCTGTCAATCAGTTACTGTAAAATTACCCTCAGGACTAAGTGTATTTATAAATGGTTGTCCTGGTTGGCTCTGGTTGGTGGAAGTAATCTTATATGGCTTTCCTAGTAATTTAATCTAAAGTATAATTGCTACTTTTAATTATGGTAACCAAAAGGGCTGCAACTAATGATTATTTTGCAAAACAATTAATCTGTTAATTATTTCTTTGATCAATAATCGGAGAGCCAAAGGTTCCTTAAAGATTTTTTGAGATTAAACCAGGTGAAACTAAAATGTTTCCGCTTGAGGAGCTCTGGATTTAACACACTGACAGAAAATCTTAAATACATATTTTTTAAATATCTTTTTAACGATTTTGATATAATTACTGCTCTAAGTGGGTCGTTCTGTCAGCTGGATGGATGGATGGATGGACGGACCAGCGAATAGAACTGCACAAGATGTTCCAGTCAATATGTTCCATTTTTTTTCTCTTCAAATCAACAAGATAACATAAGAAGAGGCTGAAACAGGAATAAAAATTTAACCTTCATTCATTTGTAAGACAAACATCTTTTAGTAGGAGAGTTTCTTTAATTAAATTGAACTGGAGCGGATTCCAAAAAAAGTTGCTACTTGTTGATTTGGGCTTTAAATGGGAAGCCAACCCATCACGGGGGAATTGCTGCTAAAGACGATACACTTATTTTCATCCTAATCTTCCACAAGTTTTATCTCATTACATCCAATACAAGCCTGAAATCCAGAAACAAATTTAAACGAAATAAAATGATACAGATGCTAACAAGCAGAAAATATGCTGAAACTTTTAATAAAGATAAGAAATGTGGCCTTATACTAAGTGTTGTTTTCCATACTGATAAGGAGATGCGCTCTGTCGAAGCCAAAGCCCTAATTAATTCCTATAGTATAATTTGACCTTTCAAGGAAATTTAAGGAACCTTATAATTAAAATGAGGAAAGCAAAACAAAGTGTGACCACATTTTTTGTCACAGCCAGGCTAATTGGGAACATATAACTGAAAGAGATGATACAATAAATCATTAGTGTCTGTCTTATTGTTCCCCTTAACCCATTTCTCTTTGTCTCACGTGACCCAGATCCTTTAAATCCTGTTTCCTGTGCCGTTTTACTCACTAATTGGCTCTATGAGAGTTGCTGCAGGGCAACAAGCTATAGCTTTTTTTCAAAGTTTTTTTTTTCCTTCCAAATAAAGACACAAACTGGATAGAGTGAGAGGACAAAACAACACTGAAACACATGCAGCAGAAGCTGCACAAGTAAATCCAGCCCACACAAAAGCTCGACGAACTCAAGTCTTCTCAACACAGAGAATACTTCTAATATTTAAAAATCAACGCACAACATGTCAATCTCTGCTGCTTCAGTGCTTTTCACAGTACGAGCGGCAAGCAGTACCTGACAGCCCCCACATCTGCCAACACTGGGGAATTAAACCCACAGTTTGGTTTTCAACCGGCACACTTGCTGAAGATCTTTGATTTAATCTATTATTCAGTTGTTATGCAACTCTGCTGTCAGCCAGAATCATCCATGTAGTCCCAAAAAAATATGCGATTGCTCTTGAGCTTTATCAAAAAGCAGACAATCACATCGTGACAAGATAAAGGAGGAAACAAAAAAAAAAGAAATACCAGCGTGGTTTGTCAGTTCTTCTACTTGCTGAAATTCAATCACTGATCTGTGGCATGCTCAAAAAGATGTGGGAGGTCAGGATGGCGGCGAGAAAGAAAAACTTTATTTCTAAAAACTGCGCGTTACTAAACTTTCCGTGAATGGTGAGATGAATTTCACATTAATCATTAAACATAACAGAGCTTTCATTTATTCAGTCAACACCTATTTTAATAGTGAAGGCTAAGAATTGTTGTTTGTGAGATGCTATTGGAACCGGAAAAGGTGGGGGAACAGCCCCATCTACTGGTGGATTTAAGTCTAACACCTATAATTTGTTTTAATGATTTGATGGGATTAATGACAAGCAGAAAGCAACAAACCATTTTAATGTCAAGGAATAATGATACATTGTTTTCTTTTTGCAAATAAAATCAAATCTAAAAACAAATGTCTGTATTTATGTTAATATTGAAACTGTGCCCAACTCTTTCCAGAACTTTTCTAATTAGTCAATAGCATAATAAAGTCTGGAAATAAATCTTTGTGTGAAGTTTGCTGCTACAGTTAATGTATCAACAAACCTCTGGATAAAGGTAAAGGAACACACCAGGCGGGTCGGTGTAAATCTATAGCATTTTAAAGCAGAACATCTCAGGCAGCAGATCAATTCTCAAGACTTCAATAAGTTACCATTTGTTAATTGTTTGTGAGTCGGTCTCCCCTGCCCATTGTTTTTGAGCATCCCCTCAGCATGATGCTAACACCACCATGTAACACCATGGAAGAATACGGTCATGGTGATTTTCAGAATAGCTTATCCAACATTTTAGTCCCATCTGACCATTAAACCTTCTTCCACATGTTTGCTTTGTTCCCAATAGTTTTTATTTTTGCTTTAGAAGAGATTTTTGAGCGATTTCTGAATATTTTCATCGGATCTGTTTCACTGTAGCCAGATCTCAGGATACATGATTAGCAGCCGTCTTATTACCACATGCTCCCCTAGTTAGCATTGGCCCTTTTCCCTGATATATGTTTCCCTTTTTAGCCTCGGAGGTTAAGAATTTGGCCGTTTCCTTTTCATTTTTAAATTAGAGATTGAATAATGCTCTGCAAGATGTTCCAGGTTAGAAAAAATGTTCTGCAACCTAATCCTGCTGTAAACATGCCGACATTCTTATCTCTGATGTTTTTGCTTTGTTGCTTGGTCTTCATAATTCTTTTTGTTCCCTTGTGTTCTCTAAAAACTATCTGAAGCAGAACAGATAGTCATTTAAGATTTAAATACCTGCAGTAGGTGGCTTCTTAATAAAATGAGGAGGCTCGCTCAATTCTAGGAGTATATGAGCAAAGGAAATTGAATGCACTCCATGCTTTTCAGATTTATATTTGTCAAATAAAATGCTTTAAGCCACGGATAATTTTTGCAAGGCAAAGAATTGGAAGTTTGTTATTTAGCAGGTAAGCTAAACACTATTTAACAGCAGTTAAGATTGATTTTAATTAGCTGGATTTACTGGGTAAGGATGACTTCATGTTTTCATGTCTACATTCTTACCATACACCTCTGGCTGCTTTGGACTGGAATAATGGATGTTGATCAGAGCCTAAAGAAGACAAAAATCAAGGTAAAAAAAAAAAGACACAGCAAGATTACATTGCTTTTATTTAAATAAATTGAGTCACAGTCAAACCCTAACTCACCAGGATCTGGAGCATCGGGCTGAAGAGCAGGGAAATCATTTTCAAACACAAACGTGCTGTCATAGCTTGGATTTACCTGGACGGATTTATACAGCAGGTTTAACCCAGAAGGAAGCAAAATACACAAAGATGACTCTAAAACATTTATGAAACAGTGTAGTGACAAAATCAATATTGATGACATCCGTTGGATTGTTCACAGCCAGAGTTCAATGGTTATGTTTAATTTGTTTTATTATTCATGCAAGTCTTCCTACCTCTCCGTTAGCTCTTGTGTTTCCAGGACAGAGAGGGTTCCGGGGATCATATCTGGGTATTTGCTCCTCAGGAGGTTTCTCTACCTGCCCAGCCCAGGGTCTCTTCATGCGGTGGGCGGACACCAGGACCCAGCTGTCTCTCAGTGGGTTGTAACGCAGGTGCTGGTGCTCTGGTGATACAAAAGTGGCAAAGTAAAGCAACACACAGAATAAAAGCACAGGGGATTGTGGGATGCAGTCTCAGATCTGGATTTGGTGCATCTAGTATGATGTTAGAGAAAGGCCAGTCATACTAAATTCCATTAGGAAAACCATTCCAACATCATGATACTGCCATCATCATCATGGACTGCTGCCCTATTGGAAGAGGCTTTGCAGCATTCGATGAAGGACCAGCAGCTTCTGCAACAGCTTTTTCCCCACTGCCATAAAACTGTTGAACTGTTTTTAAAATCCCTGGAAATAGAACTCAACTCAAAATTTTTTCTGCATTTTGCACCATATATATTTATTTATTTTGCACTGCTCTGAACCTTCCATATCAATGCCTTTTGCATCATGTCTTTAAACTGGTTTTCCTTTTCTGCTACACTGTTTACATTTTGATCACCGCTGCACTTTAAAAATGGAAATCACTGCTAAGCAGCCGATTCACTGTTAAAAAAAGCTTTATGCATCAAAATTTTGTCTTAAGTTTGTCTAAGTCCAAGTCTATCATCATGCAGAAGGGATGAAAATATGTAACATGACAACTGCCACCATGTTTTGCTGTGTTTCATTTTGTTTTCCTCCACCTGATTATTTTCATGCATAGTACACTAGAATCAACAAAATGGTTACAGGGGATTGCTTAAGGCTTTTGCCAGACTTGTTCATTTAGAAGCTTGTTAGCCTGGAAATGTTGGTTTACAACCGATGCTTGATGTAAACCTTTCCACCTCAATATTCCAGAGCTTCTTCCCATTTACTTGGAAGTGTTTTCTGAGCTGTTTGCTGCTTCTGAAGTCACTGGTTTCACTCTACGTTTTTAAAGGAGGTCTGAAAATATTCCACACTTTCCTATTTGCAAATAAAATCAAAAGTTTCCATTATTTTAGTTCTGCTTGACAATTATCCTCTAGTCTTGTAGATTAAATCAAATCAAATGAAAAAGCTGATAAATTCCTGATTTTAATACAGTTTTTATAGCAAAGGTAGTAGCCTCAAACAATATGACCGCTTTGTGTCGAGGTCTGAAACCATGAATCTTCAGCTTTCTGTCTACTTTTATGCAGATCCAAACACTGCAACATTACGCATTTGTATGTCTAATTGTCTCTGACATACTATCCCAGTTGCTTTCTCCTATAAATAATATTTTACTGGACAGATAAGCAGATGAGAAAGACTTTATAGTATAGAAAAGGAAAGAAGAGATTAATTCAGACTCATTTAAAATAGCAACACAGTCTGAAAGGTTACAAGTTAAACATGTAGGAAACCGGTAAATCTGAAGTGTTTTGGGTTTTGTTTGTAAACATACACACATTAGTACTGGAGGAGGATTAGAGCCACTGAAAAAATAAAAAAAGTTAACTGATATTCTACATTTTGTTTCAGTATAATATGAAAAAAAGTCAGAATTCTGACTTTAATCTCAGAATTCTAACTGTTTCCTGACAGCTAACACCAGGGATGCACGATACTGGGATTTTGGCCGATATCCGATAAGCCGATATTTTAAAACTCATGTAGAAGATAACAGATATCGATACCGATGTTAAAGCTGGACAAAAATAAGTAGTCATTGAAAATAGCAGTTTTGTTATCCATTTCTGACACTTTGAAAAATAATATACTCAAATATATTTTCATATGCTGATATCAAATTGATTTTTAAAAACGCGGTATCTATTTTACTTTCAAAATCTCGTGAAATTTCATCGTTCTGTTACAAACTCTCGTGATACTTTGCAAATTCTTGTGAGATTTTGTTAGTAAAATAGATCGATACCGCGTCAATACATCAACATATAAAAATATGGCAAAATTTCATGAATTTTCGGGGGATTTCGTAGCATAACGATGACATATAGCAATATTTCATTAGTAAAAGAGATTGATATGGTGTTTTTAAATGGCAATATATCAGCATATGAAGATATTGTGATATTTTAATGTATCAACATTTTTCCCTCGTCTTTAGAAGTTTTTAAGTCTGTAAAAAAGAAGTTTTTGAGGAAAAAGAAGTAGTATTTTTTTTTTTTTTTTTTTAGACTTTAGAAACTCAGAAGCTGATCAAATATCGGGTTAAATATCGGTGGGGTGGCCGATGTCCGATATTCAGTTTTAAGGCCGATACCGATAGGGGGCCGATTATATCGTGCATCCCTAGCTAACACACAAGCTGTAGCCATGTCTGTTTTGGGGATGTTCTCTCTTGTTTTAATCCACTTCTGCTCTTCCATTAATAAATAGCATCACCGGGGACCCCTCAGGCATGTAAAAAGTTGCCTAATTGCATCATTTTCCACCAATGTGTTACTGGCCCTCCCAAACAACTCACATCTTTGTCAGTGAAGCTGAGAGCTCCCACATCTCTTCCTTTATGGTGACCATCTACATTAAGATCCAAAATTCTGGAATTTAAGTCAGAATTCTAAAATTAAAGTCAGAATTCTGAAATTAAAGTCACAATTCTGAGATTAAGATCCAAAACTCTGGAATTTAAGTCAGAACTCATAGATTATAATCTAAAATTCTGGAATTCAAGTCAGAATTCTGAGATTAAAGTCACAATTCTGAGATTAAGCTCCAAAATTCTGGAGTTTAAGATCCAAAATTCTGGAATTTAAGTCTGAATACGGAGATTAAATTCCAGAATTCTGAGATTAAAGTCAGAATTCTGAGATTAAGATCCAAAATTCTGGAGTTTAAGATCCAAAATTCTGGAATTTAAATCAGAATTCAGAGATTAAAATCTAAAATTCTGGAATTTAAGTCAGAATTCTGAGAAAAAAGTCAGGATTCTGACTTTAATCTCAAAATTCTGACTTTTTCATATATTAAACTGAAATAACATTTAAAAATCAGTAAACTTTTTTGAGTGTCCCTAATCCTCTTCCGTACATTAGAGTTGTGCCTTTTCTTCTATATATATTTTTTTTAATAACTCGTATTATTTCCTTCTTCCTGCATTTCCACAGATATCGAGAACTTGCGCCAAAAGTAACATTACAGTAAAACATCGATACAAAACAGTTCAAATCTGCTGGATGTTCAACGTATACATTATAAGCAAGACATGGATTAGTTATTGGGGAGAAAAACTGCAAAAACGGCATTTTGCAGAAATATAAACAACAGGAAGCAAAGTCACGTGAGATAAAGCAGACAGCTGATTCCCTGTCAAACAAAGAGCTTTAATCTAAGCACTGTAACACTTTGATTCCATGTTTTGACCATGAGCTGGATAAACATTCATGTTTAGATAGACTGCAGCAGCAGTCAGGTGTTTGTTGAGTCTCCAGCTTGAAATCCTGGATGAATGAAGCTGGAAGCGGAATGATCGGTACATACCTTTGGGATCAAAGCTGGGATCTGGAACACCGCTCATGATCTCTGTTTAAAAGCTCTTCTTCGATGTAGTACGAAGTAATCATTAACTCGAAGTGAACTTTAGCATGGTCCCACACTGTTCAGCCGTAGCCTTTTAGCCTATGGAGGAGCAGAACCAGCGGAAAGGCGTGCCGTTTGGGACGGATCACTGTAGAGCAGGAATATGAATGACTTTATTATTTACATAGTAAAAAAACAAGAATCTAAAAACTGTAGCAAATATAAACTCCTGATTCAGGTCTTTATTTGTGTTTATGTAATAATTTAAAACATGAATAAAAACATCAGGCTTGAGCTGTGTGCTGGTAACCTTGCACCAGCTACGCCCACCGGCTATGAGCCGATCGCGGTCGAGCCAATTGAATCTGCCGACTCGATTAGGTGAACGATTTGTCAGTGCAGTCAGATTCTTCTTCTTGTGTCGTATGGCGGTTGGCAAACAACTTTTTGATGCATTACCGCCACCAACTGAAATGGAGTGTGAATCTGGAATAACCTAATTCAATATCCTACTACATATTACTAAACTAAAAAAAACAACTAAATCCTCTTTAACAAATTTGTCTTTTTAAGAAATCTCAATAATAAGGGGAAAACCCTCTGATCTAGAATCCAAGTCTAAATGGTATTTTAACTTTAATTTATTGACTTGTAATCCGTTTATCAGTTCAACTCTATCATTTACAACAAGTGCAAAACAATATGACATTCTCCACTGTTTCTTCTTGAAAACAAAAATCACACTTCCCTGTATCATGTTTCCCTATTTCAAACAAACTGTAACCTTGATATCACTATTTCCTCCTTTCTATTCCTTGCTGTTTTTCTCATAAAGCCAACTTTTCTTTGAATATTATAAAACCATCTACCAGTTCTTTCTTCGTGCAGTTGGGATGCCTCCGTGTCAGCAACCGATAGAATCCTATCCTATCATTAGCTGCATTTAAATATTCAAAATAAGGAGCATCTAATACTTTTGACTTGGCTGTCTTTGAATAATTACATATATTAATAATTAAAGTTGGGAAATAGTTGTAGGATACAGTGATGTTTGAACCGTTTGAACAGTATTGCATGACATAGAATAGAAAATATTGTAAGACAACATCAACGGACTATTATAACTTTTAGCATTGAGTTCATTTGCAAAGATAATCGTCAATTTGTCCATGTGGGCATGCTTCTTCACAAACAAAGGAACTTTAAAGATGGAGTGTGAACAAAACGGAAAAGTCTTGCAGGACCAAAGCCACAACAGAATCAGACAGGTTTTATTTAGAGGCGTGCTGTTGCATAATAGGGGATTCAATGGGTTGCAATTTCAAGCACAACTACATAGTGATAGTAAGCCAGTAGCGTTTCATCTGTGAAAATATGTGGTACTTGGGCCACTATTAATTAAGGAACGTCTGAATGCAACCTGTGCTGGATTTAATTTAGAGGTATAAGCTTTGTGGAGATTAAAATACATGCATGCCAAACTTTACAGATTTTTCTTTTTCCTTTTTATTTTAAAAGCATGTTTCATTCTCTGTCTTGCTTTGGTTTTTTACTACTTCTTTTTTTTTCTATTTGACATTGGTCTATAAAGTTTGTTGTTGTAACACATAACCCATTTTTGAGATGGTTAAATACATTTCCTATGGCTATGGCTTGCTAAGTGAATCTAAACTAGGTGATATCCCACCAAATGAAGACTCTTAGGGTGTGTGTGTGAATGCTAGAGGATGGCTAGGATATATGTTTATCTTCTTTACAAGAATATTTCAGATGAAATTAAGTGAATGATCATATGGAAAAGAAGATATTCTAGAATCTAAATGCTTTAATAATGATTAACCAGAACCCCATTTTATAATTTTTTCCAATGATCACTGAAATTAAAGCTAATTATCATTTTATTACTCATCATCAATTAAACAAGAGTACCGGATCAGAATTAGTTTAAACAATAATCTTTTCTAAGCATCTAAAACTTTTGTCCCAGCAGCACACTAATTGATTGATCTTTGGGAATAGTCGTCTGGTATCAAACTCGCATTTTTCTTTGTCATAGGCTGAATTGGTCATGGGTTGCTCTGTATAAATAATTATAAAATCTGTACAATCAAATTAAAAGGCAGTAAAGAAGATAGATATGTGCAATTAGGGTCCATAAATGTATATTTTATATAATCACTCTGATATGATTATTTGCAAGTAAGTACACACTCACACATGTGGGTTTGATTGTGAAGAGCTGATAAGTAGCTGAAAGATCTTTGCCAAAAGAACCCGATCTCCAAAAGTAATCTAAAGTCCCATCATGTTGCTTACGTTGCAACCCGAGATCTGTGATTGGTTGATTTGCCCTGTCGCGCGCTCACGTCATAAGGAAGAATCAACCAGTTAGCAACCTGCCTGCCCGCATGTAGCCTAACCTGCTGCTGTCTTCTTCTTGTTTTGTTAGTAGTAATGGGTTTAATCAAAGCCAGCCTTAGACTGTTATCGCTCTGTGCAGTTGGCGTCCTGCTGGTGCTCCTGCTGCGGCATTGGATGGCCAGTAAGCAGTACGTTTTTAGCAAAGAAGATGTTGCTAAGTTGGCCAAGCAGTACGCAGGTAAGTTTTAAATGTCAGTCTGGTTCTCCTGTTCTCTTGGGTTTTGCTTTAGCGAGGCTAAAAATCTAATAATTTGTTCCTGTAATCATTTTCAGGGCAGGACCATGAGCAGGCTTTCTCTAAAGTGGTGGTGGAGCTCAGGAAGAGGTAACGATGCCAGCTGAGTTAGGGAGGGTCTCCACATGGTTCACTTAGGATGCTTCCATTGATTCAACAGGGGCGAAGCTAGAAGGTGGGGGCAGGGCCCCCCTCCTTAGCCAATCATTAGTCACGCAGCTCTCTAATAGATGGTTAACCCTCCAGAGGGTGGCGGCAGAAATACAAAGTAAATGTTCTAACATAACATTTTAATCGTTAGTATATTAACGATAAGGTGACACTAAAAATACAATAATTATTATATAAATATACTACCATTAAAGTCATAGGGAAATCATATTTAAATGTCAAATCATTCTGGCTTAAACATGTATATAAATGTACTTTTTATCAGTCTATATTGTCCCAAAATATAAAAAATGTCTTTAAAAAAAATCTGTTTTTTTGTTTGTTTTGTTTTTTCTGTTATTTTATGCAGGCCAGTTAGTTATACGTCAGCTTGTACACCTAAATTCAGCCAGTCGTATATCTCAGTACCTAATGGCAGTCATGCTACCTCTGGCAAGCACATAGAGGGCTGAGCAGCCTTCCAAAGAAATGCCACCCCACACCATTACTGACCCACTACCAAACCAGTCATACTGAAGGATGTTGCAGGCAGCAGATCGCTCTCCATGGTGTCTCCAGATTCTGTCACATGTGCTCAGTGTGAACCTGCTTTCAGCTGTGCTCTGCACAGGTGTTCTCTGGCAAATGCCAACCATCGTACACGGTGTTGGGCTGTGAGCACAACCCCTATGTGTGGTCGTCAGGCCCTCATACCACCCTCATTAAGTGGGTTTCTAGCCGTTTGTGCAGACAAATGCAAATTTCTGGCATGCTGGAGGTCATTTTGCAGGGTTCTGGCAGGGCTTCTCCTGTTGCTGCTTGCACAAATGCAGAAACGTAGCGGTCCTGATACTGGGTTGTTGTCTTCCTACGGCCTCCTCCACATCTCCTGGTGTACCAGCCTGTTTCCTGGTAGCGCCTCCAGCCTCTGGACCCTACTCTGAAAGACACGGCAAAACTTCTTGCCACAGCTCATATTGATGTCCCATCCTGGATGAGCTGCACTGCCTGAGCCACTTGTGACGGTTTTAGAGTCTGTCTCATGCTAATATGACTGGGAAAGCACCACTAACATTCAGAAGTGACCACAACATCAGCCAGAAAGCATAGGTACTTAGAAGTGGTCCTCACCTGCAGAACCACTCATTAACTGTTGCTAGTCTCGCTTATTGTCAATAATTTCTACCTGTTGTCTATAACATTTACATAACAACATGTGAAATGACAATTATTATTCCTTCCTAAGTGGACAGTGTGATTTCACAGACATTGCTTTATCTTTTTTATATATTTTTAGCAGTATATATTTGGATTTAACTGAATAAAATAGGATGAGGCTCAAGGGGGATGAATATTTTCTAGTTATGGAGTAGTTGCTTTGTTTTCATAAAGGCTAATAAGTGGATCTGAACCAGGTATCCGGGTCACATCCTGCCAGATGAGGACTTGCAGTGGGTGTTTGTGAATGCTGGAGGCTGGATGGGCTCCATGTGTCTCCTCCATGCCTCCCTCACAGAGTACGTGTTGCTGTTTGGTACTGCGGTGGACACTGGAGGACACTCGGGTAAGGAACTGTGAGGTTACATTAACTTTACCTCTTTTTTTCATATATATAATTTAGACTTTCTAAAACTTTATTTGTTCTTTATGATGGTTTCTGTTTGTCAGGTCGATACTGGGCAGAGATCTCTGACACCATCATCTCAGGTACCTTTAGGCAGTGGAAGGAGGGAACTACCAAGAGTGAAATATACTATCCAGGTAATGGATGAAAAGATTTACATTCACACATGTAGTCGTTGTTGATGTATTTGCAGCTATTAAAACTTTCAATTTTTCCATTCTTAATAAAATATAAAGTTTTTGTCATTTAAAAAAAATGTACCGCTTTAAAGCTTTTTCCATATTTAATGACAAAAAGATGTGAAAAAGGTGAAAAAGACAAAAGCTACAATAACCTTTTTTTTTTTGATGGCAACCCAATTTTAAATGTTAACTGATTTTATGTTAAATGTATTGTATTTGCATTTTCTTGACATTTATATCAGTTAGTAAAGCTAAAGTTTTATAAAGGATCTCTGTATAAATGTTTAAAAAAAATGCAATAAAATTTCCAGGATTATTTTTATAGCCTACAGGAAAAAACGGCATAATTTGGGAACACATTGGACAATAATGACAAAAACTCCCCATTTCCATTTGAAAAATGATTATTAAGCATTTCTTTACATTCATAATATTTCCTCTCAGGTGACACAATCGTTCATGAAGTGGGCGAAGCCACGTCGGTCCAGTGGAGCTCCGGGACGTGGATGGTGGAGTACGGTAGAGGCTTCATCCCCTCCACCCTTGGCTTTGCTCTGGCAGACACCCTGTTCAGCACCCAGGACTTTGTCACAATGTTCTACACGGTACGCGTCTACGTAAAGGCGCTGATGCTGGAGGCCGGCACGTTGCTTACAGAGGCTGGCGTCTTCTGAGGGACGGAAGATGGACGCACACTTGGAAATCGAAACACAATTAAAACCTGCCATTGGGGCGGGGAGTGGTTATGCAAAAATTCCAGCATGTAATTTATGACAATCCAGTTTGCAGTTTGTCATTCGCTTTCAAATCCGGTTAAATATACATTAATTAGTACCTCGTAGCATTAGGACAGGCTGCTCAAGTATAGAAGGTGTTTGAAAATAATTCTGGTTCAATAGTTATTAGGCCTCGTTTCAGATTATTATCGCAAAAACAAACTTTATATCAAGATGTAGTCATGGGTCAGACCAAAACCAGTTAAAATGCCTCAGCACTGTGATATTTTTGCAACCTGCACTACATTTCAGATTTAGATTTTCATCCATAAACTTGAGCAATTAAATAATGAAAACCTGTTAGTTGCACTCTTTCTTTGTTGCTCTGATATTGTGGGTGTAGTGCAAGCTAATATTAACTGGGGTAATTAATCTGCAGCTAGCGCCTCTTGTAGCTTGTTTCCCTAAAAGAAGATAAAATGTCTTTTCAAGTTTCCACACTGGCTCACTCCCTCTCTTCTTTTCATCACCAGAAAGTTTCAATTTTGTCTTTTTTTCCTCGGCTTTCATTCAGCTGACCAATCATGTGCAGCATCAGATGGTAGACTGGGAGAACCGCTTTAAACTATGTGCCAAAGCCAAACTTTTTCAATAAAAGACTTTTAAACAGGAGGAAGGATAACAGTTGATCATGTTTAGTAGTTTTCAAACCATACATTTTAAAAACTAATGAACCATGATACTGCTAACAAGCCCATACCTCATCTTATCTTTATGCAAGTTTATTCTGTGAGGTGGATTTCATAACGATATTTTAAATGCATCACACAAACTAGCACCAGGAAGAGAAATATAATTTTTTTTCTTAATGCACTCTTTCATGTTAGACCGTCCTCTATTCCTTTTATTGAAAACTTATCAAATCTGACAAGATATGTGGATGAAATCTATGTCAATATTCATTGTATTCTATCTGCCAGCTACGAACCCGGTAGCCTTGTTGTAACTACCTTTGATTGTGTTGAGGCAATAACTAAATGACCATTCACACTACATGGGTGTATGCTGTCTATGTCCAATGATTGGAAATCAACTCACATTTATGTTCCGTCAGATTTTAGATGTTTCTCTGAATTAGTTTTAAGATTGATTTAGAAATCATATCACATCTGTGTGGAAGTCTTATTCAGCCCAGGAAACATTGCACTGAAAACCTGTTCTTCCATGTTTTCTTTTTGTGTTTTTTTTTCACTTGATTGTTATAAAAATCTTGTACATCTTTTAAGAATGCATCCTAATGAGGACACTAAATGACAAAAATCACTGTGTTTGGCACCACATGTGAACATCTTAGCAGTGAAATTGGTGACTGTATCTGCAGCTGAACCCAGTATCTCTGAGAAACCAGCCTGCTTTTCTAACATGATGATGAATCATTGGTTATACTGTACTGAATCAGTTTACATGCACACATGTGAGGAACATATTGCTGTATTTCTGTGCAATATAAAGATTGAAACTGATAATGAATATACAAATCTGAATAAAATCAAAGCTGTTTTGATTATGAGTGTGGGTGTTTAATATTTGTTAAGACTTTAAAATAAACTGCTGTGATTTTAAGACCTTTAGGACAGGAAATGTAGTCATAGCAACACTTCATAATTTTTTATTTCATGCATAAATCTTTTCTCTTTGGGTTTAAATTGAACATACTGAGTTGGCCTAAAAGCTCTAATTTATTATAAAAGCATTTAAGTGGGAAAAAATGCCTATACTTTAAAATAGAGAAAAATAAAGATGACTTGGAATAAAACTAACACACACTTTAACTATCCGATGAGATCAGCAACCTAGAATTAGCTTCAAGTTTTAATTTGGAGTTGGGTCTACCATGTTCCCAAAGCACTGTGTGAATGCAAGATATATCATAGTTAGTTCCACAGTGTTAAATATGCAATGTCAAAGTACATTGACTCCTAGTTATTACACTATGTAGAGAGTAATTCAGAATGGGACCAAATGCACTTAGATTGGCATTACTTTAACACTGCAAAAATTATTAGGAGCATTACTCATTTATATAAATATTTTTTAAAGAAAAACATCAAACCATCAACTGAGAAATCTAGCAGAAATGTAAGTTTCTGCTAGATTATAGCTGGTTATAAAAAAAAATCGATAAAATTGCAGTAAATGTAAAGACGGTTTTTATACAGTTTGGGTGCATAACTATTTTAATTGTTATTTTAAATAGTTTTTTTCTTAAGGATTCTTTGGACAGCTGTGTTGGACGTTTTACCACTAATTCTTTTCTCTGTTTCTTTAGAAATGTTTTTATCAAAACAAACACAAATGGGAGCGTCAATATTTCACCAGGAGCTCTAAAATAAAATGTTTTAATATATAATACTTTTGGTTTCCTGTGACGTCCCAACACCCGTGTCCCATACTACGGTATCCATGGTAACCAGCAGCCGCGCCGTCGTTTTGTGGCAGTTTTTCAGCATTATGATGGAACTATCTTACCAGTCTATGAAAGTCGCCCATGAGGCTCGAGAGGCAGTGAGTTTTATTTCTTTGTATATTTCATATCCATATGCTATGCAACATCCAAAAGCTGTTTTTTTTTTTTTTTTTTTTGTAACATATTTTGGGACGCCATTTATGCCTGGATATCAGCGAATAAGCATCAAATTACAATTTGTTCCCTAGAACAAGTATGAAAACATATTGGTTTCTTTTAAACAAGCAGCACTTGCAAAGTTTGGTCGCTAGCTTAAATTAGCTGTTAGCTAGTCTAAATCAGCGTTCTCTGGTTGCCTAGAAACCGTGAAAAACATTAGAGATTTGTGATGGTTTGTCTCCCCCTGCTGGCAACTTTTGCGTTCTGACATGAACGTTCTGGTAGCTTATATATTATGTTTTTTTTTTTTTTTTTTTTTTTTTTTTTTTTTTTTTTTTTTTTTTTTTTAGAGGAGATTTGGAATAAATTAGTAACTTAGCCTTTTCAGCCCATTTTTTAGGAGTAACCTAGATATAATCACTCATTTATTGGATCACCTGTAAAAAACCTGTAAAAAACTGGCACCCTTAGGATCCAAACAATAGTTAAACAAATCATTGTCTTCCTGCAAATTTAGACAGAATTGAAACAACACACAAACATTATAAGCGATATATCTATTATGATTTAAAATGGAAAAAATCAGTTTAATATCAATTTCAAGAATGAAATGCAAAAATCACATATTAGGGTTTGGTAAAGCTTAAAATTCCATTTAATTATTTGATTTTTTTATTTAGGTAGGTCATTCTTTAGTTATATCAGTACTCGATTAATCATGATTAATCCGATTAATTGTTTCAGCCCTAGAAATGAGTAAATAAAAATAATTATCCAGTAAGACAACATAACATATAAAGACTGATTCTTATTAACCATATGCTTTTTTAAGTTATATTTTATAAAATTTTATATTCAAAGTATATTCATTACTTTTCAGTTTTTCTTTAATGGGAGGGTATGTAGACTTTTAAACAACTGTATTGCTGTTATGACAGCAGCAGTCTTGCATATCTGATACTTTGCTGTTGCTCTTCTGCAGGATAAGCTGAGGACTGAGATGAGGAAGAAGAGCCTTCTTGTTCTTATCTACCAGTATTTGCTTGAACAAGGGTCAGTATGAATTACTGTGGTACAGCTGCTATTATCTAAGACTAAGCTTTATCAGAATATATGGCTTCTGAACAGTTAATCCTAACCTTGTTAGAAACAGGTTAAAAAATGCAGGTTAGGCTTTATATGTTTGTGTGTATATATCTGTGTACAGACATTATGATAAATTATGTTTAATGTTCAATATCCCCCATGTTGAATTGCAATCTGTCCTCCAGTTTGCTGCTTGAAAAAGGAGTTTGGTTGTTTACTTGTTTATTTAGCAAGGAGTCAAATTTCCCCTGTTTGTGGAGTAAATAGATATTATTATAAATGACAGGATTCAAAAAATTTAATTCATAAAACTAAAAATGTAATGTCCAGGAAAAAATAAATAAATAAAAAGTTCATGATTACAAAGTAGAAGTCCAGAGAAACTCTGACTGGATAAAAAAAAAAAAAAACGTGTTTATTTCCAATAGTGAATTAGAAGAACTAACCATAGGGCTGATGGGGATTTGATTTTATGAATAATGCTAAACTAACAACAAAACTGCCGTCTTGTCTGTGTAAAATGGAAATCTAACACGTGCTCTGGTATTCACTGAGCAGGTATACATCGGCTGCAGTAACTTTGGATCATGAGACGAACGGAAACGTGAGGAAATTTGAGGTTTGTGATAACGTTGATCTGGAGATGGTGCTCATGGAGTACGAGATTTATCACTACGGCAAATTCCAGAAATATCCTAAACTCATCAGGAAGCCAGTAGAAGCAGGTGTGAGACGGACTCGGTGCACTGAAGTCATCCTCTAAGCCCAGATTAGTCAAGCATCATAAGCCTTTTCTTTTCTTGAAATATATATCTTTTTTCGTAAAGGTGAAAGCAGACTGGCAAAAAGCGCTGCAGCGAAGAAGTAAGTCTGATCTTTATAAAAAAAAAAAAACTGTATTTTCCAGTTTTTATCATGGATTTTTCTAATTATTCTCACATCCTAAGGGGTTTAAATGTTTTTTCTGTTTCTGTGACAGGAGTCCTCAGTCGGCTCTGAAGCCTCTTCCCAAAATCATCCAATGCTCATCAGCACCAACTGGAAATTCAGCCAAGAAGATAGCTGCTAGTTCACATGTAAAAAAAAAAAAAAAAAAAAAAAAAAAACATTACATAAACTGCATAAAAAAAGTAAAACAAATAAGAAATGATATTTTTTATAGGAAAACAACACCTCTGTGGGACCTGAGTCTCTGGATTTATGCTTCAACACGTTCTCCATCAAAAATGGACCTGCTGAGAGGAGCGCCTCAAGCAGGAAGGTACAGAGGAAGTAATAACACAATAATCCTTCCAGTTAGGCTTTTCTACACTTTCTATCTGATATACTCTTTTCAGAAATGAAATATGAATTAAAAGCAACCAGAGCCATGAGCTGTAATACGTTTTTGAATCTAAAAAAAAAAATAGTTTTTAAGGAAAAACACCTTTAAGCACACTTTGATTAATGTTTGAAAACTGCCTGAAGTAAATTCCATGCTGGTGAAAAAATCTTCTAAATGATATTTTCTTTATAGATTACAAACATTCTACTTTGGTAAACAGTGGTACTAAGCTTGGATTCTTTAGTGCATTTCCCAACATTTTGTGTTTTATTAAAAGGTCCCAGTTTTACTGCAGAAGCTCATTGGAAAATCTAAGATTAAATCACGACGAAAAAAAAACATTGTTTTGTTCGTGTGATTATGTAACATTGAGCAGTTGTCTTTTGGTCCAGATGACTGATGGCAAAGCGGCGCTCCATGAACCTGCCAATGGATTAGCTGTTCACTCAGAACACATGGTAATTACATCCCAGAGAAAACAAAGAAATCATTTCATTCTGATTTCATACTAAATATAATTTTAAAGGGAGCATTAATGTAAGCATATTACTTAAAGTAGTAGAGTGTTGTTTGTATTTATTTATTTTTTTACTTTGCAGGAGCGGTTGCTAAAGCCCCTTAGTGGCTTCTCTGGGATCAGTGGTGAAATGAAGGAACTTGCTGCAATCATCAGTGAGGTACTAACATAGACGCAGGTTCAAAACAATACATATAGGGACGTTTATACACAGACTCCACTAATATTTAGACATGGGTCCAAATGTGTGTTATGATGTGAAACACTGCAGACTGGACACCATCTGCAGTAGGAAGGTAAGCCACACAAAGTCACTGTTATAGAAGTTGGTTGTTTATTAAATAATCATAGGAAGTATAGTGGAAGGAAAAAGTGCAAAAGAAACACAGCCTTAAGGAATGTACAAACTAGAGTCTGTACTCCAAAAAAAACACTACACACACATAGATCCTACATAGGGTTACCTGGATTAAGGAGAAAAGGAATTTCTGTTGGATTGTCAGGCTTCTAAAGACCTCTTTTCATATAAAAGTACAAGCAGCCATCTATAGGGGGATTTTAAAACACTGCATTCTTCCTTCTGCTGACATTTTCTATGGATACGTTGATTTCCTTTTCCAGCATCACTATGCATTTGCCTGCACTGCCGAAGGTACCAAAAGCTGCTTAGAAAACATGGTGTCCTTGTGCTTGGCTCACCTGAACTCCATAGTGAATCTATGAAGGAATGACAAGAAGAAGATGAGAGACCAGACCCACAATGCAGATGACCTAAAAGCTAATATCCAATCATTTTTAGCTTCCATTACACCTCAGCGGTGCCACAGGCTCACCTTACCCAAGCTATGCTGTACTGATGCAATAATTGTATTTAGTATTAAGTAAATGGAAACAAAATCAGTTTTAGAAACCTCAAACATCTTTTTTTAATATATATTTTTGTCATATTTGTCACAGTCTTACATGCATAACTGGGGGTTTACCTACTTTAAGCCATTATT